ATCGACACTTCGACTTGCAGAGTTGTGTCTGAGCGCCACCTCATAGACATGGATTACTTGAGGAGGACACACTGGATCGCAGGGGATGAGCCACTGTGGAGCTTCGTTAGTTACACTGGTCAGCGATGCCTTATTCTGCTACCACAGACTGCTCTCACTACACTGCAGACAGACTCACTCAGCTTCCAGCCTGATGCTATATTGCTACGATCCGCACCAGCCACTAGGCGCCGAGGAGAATCTTCCCGAGCTGATGCTTCTGCTGCTGAGGATGCGTCTGTTGAGGGCCTTGCTGAAGGTTTCTCTCGTCGAGCGAGCACACCACGGACCTACACGCTGCCTCTGCCGATTGGTCGACATGAGCTTCCACCGACTCCCGACATTCTGATGGAGCAGGCCACTTTTCATCGTTATATGGTGCAGAGTATTCAGGCGTTGTGGAACGCCATCTCGGTGCTGTCCAACTGCGGTTGTGTTCGCCCACACTCACTTGATACTGAAGATGAGGATTAGTTCCTCTAGCTATCCTAGTTACTTTTTCTTTTCCCTTTTTTCTTTTTTCATTTCCTCTTGAGTCAGTTTTTATGTCTTTGTCTTGAGTCAGTTTGTCAACTTTGATTATGTTTTGAAATTTGTTTGAACTAATGAGATTATGGATTATGTTGTTGCTTTTAATTGTTTGCTTGAGTGTTCCTAACAGTCTTGACTTGGGAGAACTTCAGCTAACAATCTAACTTGCAACAAATACACATGTTTGGGTCATCATATTCTGTTTTCGGACAAGGTGTCGATCGACACCAACCATGTGGTGTCGATCGACACCATGCGCAATCACAAGTACCACGTTCTCATCTCTGTACAAACCGTTTCATTGCCTCTTTTTACCAACTCCTTGTTTGATAACACTAGAGACAGTGTTGTTTAAGTCTGGGGAAGGTCGTTGCTGACATTGTGTACATTTTTTGTATTTATAGAGTCTCAAAGTTGAGTTAAAACCTGTTTTATTGAGTCAAAATTTTTGAAATTATCAGTTTTTCATGGAACAAACCACAAAACATTGATGCTTATTAGAACCATTGCCACAGTTATTGATTGCAAGTCTTACTAAATTGAAAGTCATAAGTAGATCAGTCTAGCAATGAAGGTTTAGGTTCTTATAGAATCTGGAAAATTTGCTGTTAGCTCCACTTAAATGAACTTAAAACTTCTTGTCTTGGTCCTAGATTCTCTTTGATCTTGATTCTCTCTTTTAACACTGACAAGTATGTTAAAACACAGTTTCTCTTTGATCTCCCCTGATAGAGCTTTAAAAGTTTAAGTCAAAAGAATGGTACATTCATGACTCTGTCTCCTCACAAGGAACAACAGTAATGAATACACTCAAGAACCTTTCTCCTCACAAGGAACACAAGTATTGAGTAGCACCATATCTTAGACTGTAAAAGAATGAGATAGAGCTTAAAACGAAAAAAATATATCAGAAAGAAAGATCAAGAGGAGAGAAAATAGGAGAACTGTGTTGAGATTCCTTTGTTCAGTTGTTTAGGAAGGGAAAAGAATCTATAAGTGATAGAGATGATAAAACCTTGATGAGATATCACTTAGATAGAAATAAGGAGTTTAACAGTAGAGATTTCGGATTTCTTGAAGAAGCTTGAACTGGATTTGAAAGATTTGCTAAGCCTGTGATGATTAGCTTTAATTTGATCTTGTGTTGACTATGTGGTATGTGGATTCAAAAGTGTTAATCGATGTGGTGTTCTTGATGTCTGACAGACTTTTTCTGTGTTTTCAAACCTCTACTCTAGGCTGTGTCTGATGTTTGCTTGAGGGCAAGCAAAAGATAAGTCTGGGGGAGTTGATATATCATGGTTTTTGCTGGTTTTTTACCATGATATAAGTCTTGTTTATAGACTCTTTTTGGTATTTTTCGAGTCCTATAGAGTCTTTGCAGGTCTAGGTACAAATGGAGCATAATTGTGGACTTTGGAACCTTTTGGAGCTATACTGAAGTTGATGCTGAAAGGACCAAGTCGGAGGGCATTAAGGAGCAGGGTGTCGATCGACACCCACTACTTGGTGTCGATCGACACCGGTCGTGGTCGCGAAGAAGCATAAAAACTCATTGGAAGAAATTGCAACTTGGCCTAGAAGTTTCCCGCTATTTGCACTTTTGCCCCAGTTCGTGTTTAGACTTGTATTTAGGTTTCCTAAGCCATTGTTAGGCATCTATCTTGTTATCATTGAGACTAAGATAGAGATTAGATTGAGAGCTTTTGGGGAGACAAATCCATACTCTGTAGAGAAGAATTTCGAACCCCTTCATCTTTTACTCTATTTTCTTAATGCAATTTTATTCAGTCATGATTTGTGTTTCACTTGCTATGTCTGAGTAATCTGCTAGTTAGGTTTTGGGTTATTCAAAGGTTGATAATGAATTGTTAGAACTACAAAACTGGAAGGATAAATCATTTGGTTCTTCATCTAGATTGCTTTAACACTGGTTTTAAGATTGATCACCTGAAAATCAGATCTTGGGTTGTTTAATAGATGTGGAAACATTGTTAATCACTAGAACTATCTTAGATGAGCAAAATAACTGATTGCAAAGGAATTTGGATTAGTGATTTTGTGAACATATCGAACCTGATCTATAATGCATGTTTGGGTTGTTAGAATTTGCAAAGGAATTTAGAATTCTAGAATCTGATCACAGTTAATCTCTGCGACGGAAGTCGATTGGTTTTACATTAGTGTTTCGAGTTCTAGAACGGTTTTAATAAATATTCATTTCAGTCTGTAGTCTGCGATTTAGTCAACCTGTGAATTTCTCATTGTCTAGCGTCTTGTCTTTATTGATTTTAAGAACCTACAATCCGCCCCTGACATCATTGCTTTCGTTGTTATTTTAATTTCATTTCATTATTAACTGCTTATCTTTATTTGAATCTAAAATCTGTTGAGTGATAGTCTTAAGTCCTTGTGGATTCGATCCCTAAGTACTACAGTGATCTCTTAATTTGAGAGGGTAGCTCTAAGGGTTAATTTGAGCATATCAGTAGTTAACATCTTTTTCCTCAAACTCTGCAGTTGGTTCGAATGCCTCCACTTCAGCAGCGAAATGAACTGACTTATTACCCACTAGAAGACTATGCATAGAGTCCAGCTTTGCACTTACCTCAGCAATCTGATTGCCATCCATGTTTTCAGCTCTCTTCTGACTCTTAAAGTCTGCATTCTTGGTACTACTGCTAGATGTCAAGTTCTTAATTAATGTGATTGCATCTGCTGGAATCCTGGTGTTGAAGATCCATTGCTAGCAGCATCTAGAGCCATCTGGTACCTTCAATTGACACCTCTGAAGAAGATGCCAAGCAGTTGTACCTGATTGAAACCGTGATGTGGGCAATCCCTCTGATATGATATGAACCTCAACCAGGCAGTCTTAAAAGCTTTAGCTGGTCCTTAAGAGAAGGAGGCAATTTTTGTTCTCAGCTCCTCGGATATTGCATCATCATAGAAATTGTTGAGGAAGGTGTTCTTGGTGTCCTCCCAAGTTATCAGCGATCCATACTCAAGCTGTTTCAGCCAATAAGAATCATCCCCACCAGGGGAGTATGGGAAGAGCTTGCAGAACAGGAAATCATTGCTGACTTCATTGGTTTTAATGCTGGTCACCAGATCCTCAAACTTCTCTATGTGATCCATGGAATGCTCATGAGGGAGGTCATGGAAAACATGCTGTCCTAAGCAGGCTTCAGCTCGAATTCATTCCTCTGAAAAAGAGGTGGGTGAATTGCAGCTCTATTTGCATAGAACTGGTCTGGTCTGTTGTAATCTTCCAGAGTGCGCTGAACAAAATGCCCAGCAGCGTTTCTTGCGTCTGCAGCTGGCTCTATATCTTGCTCCACTATAACAGCACCATTCTCATCTAGTCTCTCTGTCAACCAAGTGACCTTCTGCATTTGTTCTCAGGATGATCGGATTAACCATTGCAGCTTGCTTCTTGGCTTTCCTGATGGTTCTCTCCAATTTAGCGAGTTCGTCAATGCTCAAAGTCACAAGCTCATTTTCTTTGTTGCTTATGGTACTGCGATTATGCATATACCTGAAACAGATACACAAAAAAGTTGCAAAAAGTTAGTAAACAAAAACAAAAGCTTAGTTAAAATTCTAAACCTAAAAATCTAAAGGTAACAATTAAGTCCCCGTCAACGGCGCCAAAATTTGATATGCTCAAATTATCCTTAGATCTACTCTCTCAAATTAAGAGGTAATGTAGTACTTAGGGTAACGAATCCACAGAGACTTAGATTGTCACACAACAGATTATAGGTTCGAACTAGGCTAAGCAAACAAAATAAAAGTAATGCAAGTAATAAAAAGAAAATAGTAATATCGATTTGAAGGGTTTTCAATTTAATGAGATAAAAATGCTAGGTCTTGAGAAATTTGCAGGATGAGTTCTAAGTTGCAAATTCGAAAACTGTCAGGATATTTATTAAGAACCGTTGTAGAACTTGAAACACAAACTGTAAAATCAATCAACTCTCGGTGCAGAGATTATCTATGTCTAAATCCTAGAATTACAAAACTCTTTGCAAATTCATACAATTCAGACAAGCATTGAAAGCAGGTTTGATCAGTTCACAAAATTCTTAAATCAAATCTCTTTATAGATAGTAATTTTGCTCATCTAAGATAGTTCAAGCAATTAACAATACTCTCACATCTATAAATCAACCTAAAATCTGAATTTAAGATGACTAATATTAAAGCAATCTAGATGAAGAACTTTACTGATTTATCCTAATAGTAAAATCGATTCTAGCAACTCATAATCAGCTCTTGAAAACCCCAAAACATAACTAGCAAACTACTCAGAGATCGATATTGAGACACAATCGTGACTGAAATAAATTGCATAAATGAGAAGATAATGATACAAAGAGGGTTTGATTTGTCTCCCAAAAATCTCTCTCAAAATTTCAAAAAAAATAAAACTTAGGTCTAAACAATGACCATAAAATCCTTTTATAGACCCAAAACATGAGTGGGGCAAAATTAAGTTTCCTTTTCTTCCAAAGATGGCTGAAATACGCGATCCTTTTGCATCCACGATTGGTGTCAATCGATACCAAGGAGTGGTGTAGATCGACACCCTTCTCCAATATGCTCTCCGACTTAGTCTTTTCAGCATCAGCTTTACATAGCTCCAAAATGTCCTAAAGTCTTCAATTATGCTCTAAACGTACCTGAACTTACAAAGACTCTAAAAAAACGAAAAAACTCTATAAACAAGACCTAAATTATGGTCGAAAACTCATAAAAACTATGGTATATTATCTCCTAAGACCGCCCAAGGCATAGAAGAGATTATAAGATCACAAGCAAGCAAGCCTAAATCCTCCCACAGATCTTGTCTCTCGTACTTACAGTTCACCACATAGACAAAAGTGACAAGCAACCTCGCCAGAGGAGTGGAGAAGCTTCACAATGTAAGTGATGTGTTGACTCGATTTTGAATGGATCAATAACCCAGATTCTGCCAAGTTTCGCAAAGTCATAGTTCCCGCAAAGTTCCAACCCATAAAAGAAGATTTTATATGTTTATGAGACTTATTAATCTTCTGATAAGTCTCAATAAGGCTACCAAAAAAGGGTTTACTATACCTTATCCATTTTCTGAAGTTACTATGCTTACTACTACTATTAAAGCCTCTAATATTCCAGAAAAAAAAAAAAAAAAAATCAACACTAATAGGCGAGTTGATTTAGACTTAGAGAGCTTCCCTAAGTTGCTTTTCTTGAGCCTCCACTCTCACTTCGAGAGAACTTTGATAAACTTTAAGCTATATGCGTTTTTTCCTTCTTTAGTAGAGGGGTAATCTGTGTCAGACTCAATCGGGGCTTTCTGATCCCGTGACGAGGCGGAGGAAGAAGAACTGATGTCTGCTTCAGAAGAAGAGGGAGCAATCTTGATTGCCTTCCCTTTGCCTTTCCCCTTAGAGAGCTTCTTTGTAAACGCTTTTCCAAGGTTCAGCTAGAATCCAATATCACCGATGGGGCAATCTTCTCTCGTCTTCTACTATTAAGCCTTCGAGGTTGCCTTAGGAGAAGACTTTTTCTTCTTTATTATTGCCACCACTAAAATCGGCAACTGCAGTTTATTTTTCTTGCTTTTAAAGAAAGAGAAAAAAGTTTTTTTTTCCACGACGCTTAGCAAAGTTAACTTGTATGCAAATATTATGCTACTTGGTTTTTATATTTGTTTTTCGTTATTAATTTATATTCTATTATTTGTGATTTTAATTCATTTACAAAAGTATGTATATATGAGAAACATAAAAGTCGTACGTGTGGACATGCTTCTTAGTTATAGTAAACGACGTAGTTTAGGAGGGATATTAGGGAGAGCGTGACGGCCACAAGCTCTCCGTCCCTTTACCTTTCACAAATTTTGTTTCCTTCTTCATAAACAAATCTCTGTTTCTCTCTTTACTAAATCAGTACCACAGAGAGAGAGAGAGAGAGGGAGAAAGAGAGGGAGAGAGAGAGAGAGAGTTTTCAATGGCTATCATCAGCATGAGCACGTTAGGCGTGGGACTATGTTACACCGGGAAGCTTCCGTTGAGGCGAGCCACCAGAGAAACGGGGAGGAAGCAGCAGAAAATGGCGGTGGTGAGAGCAGAAGGCAGCGGAGGAGGAATCAATCCGGAGATCAGAAAGAACGAAGAGAAGGTCGTTGACTCCGTCGTCGTCACCGAGCTTTCCAAAAACATAACTCCTTATTGCAGGTTTGTCATTTCTTTCCAAAACAAACTTAGAAGATACGTAGCTGCTCTTGTCTTATGAATTTTGAAGTTTTGGGATCTCTTTTTTATTATTAAAAATCCATTTGCTTTGCTATGGCCACGCTTGTTTCAAATTGAGTTGATTTGAAAATCAACATTTTTGAATAAACCATTGACGACCAAACAAAATGAATAAAACACTAATTTATTTTTATTTAGTTTAGACATAATCGCTTTTTAGAACATTTTCATTCATAACGAATTTTTTTTGTTAAGACGGTTAAATTATGGGTTAAAGGCAAATAAACAATCGAAGCCTAAAGCTTTTTTTTTTGTGAGATTTTGCTTTAAAACTTTTATAATAGAACAAATGTAATCGATATATGTGGTAACGTTAATTTATATGTATGATAGGTGTTGGAGGTCGGGAACATTTCCATTGTGTGATGGAAGTCATGTGAAGCATAACAAAGCTAATGGAGATAACGTTGGCCCTCTTCTTCTTAAGAAACAGTAGTTTTTTTTTCTCCCATTAATTCATCAAATCTTTCGAGTGATGATGTAGTAATATTTACTCATTCAAATATATCATTTTTATGAGGAGCGATAATGGCGTTTAAGAGCTTTTCTTTCAAATGAAATTTGTTAGTTTATGGTCCCTCACTATACTCAACTTATTCCACACAAATTATATACATGCTTAAAGTTAAACTATTTAAATAAGGATGAAATGGGTGGATAACTAAAATTCAGATCAAAATTAGCAGACCAGCATGTTAAAAATAGGCTAGAAGGAACAAGCTAAAATATACCTACAAAAAAAAATAGAAATAGAATTTATATAATTTGAATTATGATGGGTGCCGCATGGATTTACCAATAAACTAGGTGATTGGCCCGCATGTATGTGCGGTATGATATTTTTAAAAAATTTAATTAGTTGTAAAGTTTATGTATTGATTAATTTTTATATATATTATGCAAATGTTATGTTTGTATATATATACAATTTTAGTGTTTAATAATAATTACACAACTGATTTATATTATTTTGTGTCTTTTGATACTGATTTACATTAAAACTTTTTATTTTTTTTAGAGTTTACAATAACATATAATTGCAAATGTAAAAATTATATTAAATAATTATTAAATTTTATTATATGTTTTGAATACTATATATACTATGCTCTTTTCCGCTTACACAATATAATCTTGTCAATATATAAATTTTAAGTATATATTTTTTCTTGACATATTGCTATTTATATCAAAAATAGGTTTTACTATCGTTACTTATCCTAAGAGCAGGTAGATGGTTGGTCCGCATATTCGTGCGTATCAACTACTTCACCGCTCTTATGACATATAGAGGTTTTTAAGAAAATACTAATTATCTAATAACTAAAATTAAAATCGGACTGTAATCGAAGTTAACAAAATGCATGCACGGTAAGTTAGCACGCAACTGTGACTTTTGCAAAAATAATATTTATATTCACACGTATATTTGTGGAAAAACTGAAGTATGGCTTTTTGTGTTAAAAAAAAATAACAATGTATATGTTTTGTAATATATATTTTTGTAATGTATGGTTGAGTTTTAAAAATAAATAGATATGTATATTTATGCATGTAAATATGAGTTAAGTTAATTGTAATATTTAGGTGTTCGTTAGTTTTTCTGATATACTCTGCAAGCGTTATGTTTTTACATGATGTAGTTTTTGGTGTTTAACAACAACCACAAAACCTTTTCTATCATTTTATATTTAATCAAAATTTCTTAGTTTTGTGTTTTATGATACATGATTTCAAACTAAAAGTTATATTAAATATTAACAAAAATTACAAAGAAGTTTTTAAAAAAAAATGTAATATTTGACTTTATTATGAAAATCCTTTTCAATAAAAATAATAATAAATATTTACTATAAAATTTGTGAAATCATTTTCATAAAATACTCTGGTATTTCTCCTCTCATCTCTTTGTCCAATATTGAATAGTTGGTTTGATGAAATAAATTTCTTATGGTTATGGTTGGCCTCTAAGAATATATTCAAATTTGACCCGCACATGCGTTTATTATAAAATTTGCTTCTTATGATTTTTAAATGATTCAGTAAACACAAAGCACGAGAGCTTTATAGAAAAAAAATACTATAGATATTTTTTTTACTTCTATTTTTTATTCATATATGTTTCATCTTATTATAATTGATTTATTCATCCGGTGATTTTTTGTTTTATTTATAATCTCAAATTTTCAATTTATAATAAGACTGTATATAAGTATGATATAAATTCTTTTATTCAAAAAATAATAAAAGATAAAATAAGATGGCAATGAAAGCAACGTAAATTTTTAAAAAGAGCAATATAAAAAATCAAAAAGTATATATAAATAATAATATATCATACTTCTAACATTACTAATATATAGTATTTACTATCTTATTGGATAATCTATTATTATTTTTTAGTCATATTTTATGCAATCTATTATGAATATATATATATATATATATTAAAATTATGATAATTATTATTTTCTGTTAATTTAAATTTCTTAATTTTAGTGTTATAATCCAGTGTAATTATATTTTGATTACGGAAGTATTTAGTTTTAACTCAACCAATCAAAACACTTTATTTATTTTAGAAAATTTGACATGTCATGTTTTTAGTCCACTATTAAATAACACTAACTTTTCTTCTCTTTACTACATATTAGCATTTTTATTAAACATGCTTCTCAAATAATATTAAAGATAGTTTTAAAATAAAATATTAAAAGATTTAAGATTAGTTGAAAATTTGAGGGAGAAATTGCTTTACTAATGTGAAAAAATAACAAAAAAAAAAATTAAAAAACTGAGCTGAAAACCTCAAACCCAATACCCCTGGTTTGATTGTCTCTCAAAACCGGCCAGCTACAAAGAACCGGGTTTTATCCGGTTAGTTTATAAATTGTACCGTTTCCACTTCTCCGTAGCATCCTCCCCTGAGGACGAGTCAAAGTTTCTCTCTTTACGCCTCTTTGATTTACAGTCATATTTTAGACCAATTTAATTTCTTCTTCTTCTTCTTCTTTCTCGAATCTTCGCCAAAACCTCTCTCTCAAATTTATAATCTTTATCTTTCATCCCAAAATTTCTTCATTGATCTTCCTTCTTTCTCTCGAAATCCTTCGATTGGCTCCTTCAAGCTCCGTTCCCAGCAATGTCATGGTACCGAAGAACCAAACTCGTGTTCGATTCCCTGCGGCGCAATATAGATCCGAAGATTCTTCCTCGATCTCGTGTTTCCTCGAGAATCAATCAAACTGGGTCTTCTAATCCCTCAGCTAATTTTTCTGGGTTCTCCTCGATTTCTTCGCGCGAAGTAGGGTTACGATCATGGACATCTCTCGGGAAAACGAACAGGATCGCGTATAATCCGTTTCTGAGCTCACCCAAGAGATTTTACTACGTTGATCGTTACCAGGTTCGTCATTTCAAGCCACGCGGACCCAAACGGTGGATCCAAAACCCTAGGACAGTGTGGACGGTGGTGCTGATTACTTCCGGTGCAGTGATCACTCTGTTTTTCGGCAACTTAGAGACGGTTCCTTACACAAAGAGGACACATTTCGTTCTCTTGTCCAAATCCATGGAGAAGCGAGTTGGGGAAACCCAGTTCGAGCAGATTAAGAAGACCTACAAGGGGAAAATCCTCCCTGCGATTCACCCTGAGAGCATTAGGGTTAGATTGATAGCCAAAGAGATCATTGATGCGTTGCAGAGAGGTTTGAGCCATGAGCGTGCGTGGAGTGATTTAGGGTATGCTTCGATGGACAGCACGATGAGAGGTAGTAGTGATAGGGGAGTGAAGGAGACGGAAATGGCTTTGAGTGGTGAAGAGACGATGAGTGGGATGAGATGGTCGAAAGATGATCAGATTCTTGATGACGGATGGATTGAGCAGAGCAGGAAGAAAGATACCAAAGCAGCGAGCTCTCACCTCGAAGGGATAAACTGGGAGGTGCTTGTGGTTAACGACCCTACGGTTAACGCGTTTTGCATGCCCGGTGGGAAGATTGTAGTGTTCACCGGCTTGCTTGAACATTTCAAATCAGATGCTGAAGTTGCCACTGTGATCGGACATGAGGTACAATAGGAGATGGAAATGCTATTGATAGTTGTCATGCAGTGTTTCTGTGAGGCTTCTTGCTAATTCGAGGTTGATTCAGGACAGTTTCTACTGGAACAAAAGCGTTTTCTGATTTGTGTTTTATTTTGGTCTGTTTATCTGATTAGGTTGGTCATGCGGTGGCTCGACATGTAGCTGAAGGAATAACAAAGAACTTGTGGTTTGCAATCCTTCAGCTTGTGTTGTATCAGTTTGTCATGCCGGATCTTGTGAACACCATGTCCGCTCTTTTCTTGAAGCTTCCTTTCTCCAGAAAGTACTTTTCTCTTCCTCTCTTCCTATCAACATCCTATAGTCTCTTTTTAACTGTCAATCCTTTTGCTTGTTGCTACAATAGCTCTCTTGTTCTCAAATTGCTCATGAGGTCTTAACATATTGAGTAAAAGTTAGCTTTTTTTAGGGATTTTCGGGTTCATGATTAGGAACAAAAAGTCCATAACGTATATAGTTTAAGATGGTAGGAGAAGAACAAACTAATCACTTGGTGAACCATTTGGCTTCAAGAACTTATATTTCTAGCAGCAGTTGTTGTAGTTTAAGGTAATGGGTGTGAGAAATGAAGAAGAAAAACAAAGTTCTGATGCATTCATATACCTCATTGTGTGTGTGTTTGGTGTTGACATTACAGGATGGAGATAGAAGCGGATTACATAGGTTTGCTATTGCTTGCATCAGCGGGATATGACCCAAGAGTAGCTCCAAATGTGTATGAGAAGCTGGGGAAGCTAGGGGGACAGGTGGCACTCGGGGAATATTTATCGACACATCCTTCGGGGAAGAAGAGATCACAGCTTTTGGCTCAAGCCCATGTGATGGAAGAAGCCCTAATGATCTATAGAGAAGTACAATCAGGTCGACGTGGCATTGAAGGCTTTCTTTAGCTCTTTCTCTCTGTACAAAATTAACTCTCCCACTTTCGTTATAGTATGTTTCAAAGAAGAAGAATCAGTTCATTTTTCAACGTTTAATTTTATAATAAATAACATAAAGAAATTGCAATTTACAAATAACATAACTTAGTAGTTTGCCAAGTGTATTCAAATTAATCTCATCTTGCATGTTATGTTGGTACGTCACTATCGTTATTTCCATTTGAATGTGTTATAAGATTGATTCCCACTAAGACATATAAAATTGGTTCTTTTTGGTCTAAATTATCATTTTTTGACATACAGATAGCAATCAGATCTTGTTTTAAAGTTTAAAGGAGTTGTTCAAAACAAGAAAAATGCAAATATCTAGATGAGGCAGTGGTGGGATACAAGTCCAAGTTCGAATTAATGAATATATTGGATTCAGGATATCTATCAATTTAATGAATCGATGGAAAATATAAAATATCTCTAGATGAAGCCACTTCTTGCTAGTGATAGAGAGATACAAAGTGGGCCATTCTGCGTTTGAGATTTAAATGTGTTTTATAAATGTTGTAATAGGCCGTTGAGCTGACTACTGATATCCCCAGTAAATTCATTTCCCATAAAAAGAGAGAGAGAAGAGAGAAAGACAAATTATTGTAGTTTTTAGATTTTTGTCAAAGAAAACTTTTGACCAAAGTGAGTTTTATTTTTGATTGCTTAAGAGTATTTCTCTAATGGTCTTCTTAAACATAATTCTCACATCATGTTTCTTTGTACTTTGGTAAAATAGTTCGAGTTTAGGTTTTACCATTTAAATATAGCAACACGGATCCACCTCTGTTTGTATCAAAGGAGGGTACGAATGATTCAGTCTACCAAAGAGAATCTTACAAAACTTTTTGTCTTTAAATACTTTTAAATTACAAACTTTTCTAGGTTTTTGAATACACTACTTGTTTTTATTCCCTCTCCTCACCATTACCAAAGCAAACAAAAGGCTTGATGTGACTTATTTTGTTTTCTTTGTAAAATGAAAAGGAGAAAAAGATAAATCAAAGAATATGCTCGTAAACTCCAAGACTGGCTTAATACAAAAGATAGTAACTTTTAACACCCATATTAACATTAACCTCAATTTACCCAATGCGGTTAAAGACAAAACATATCAACTAGTAACTAATTAAGCATTAATCATTGAAGTCTAATTTGGAGCGGAAGAAGCCATAAATTCTGAAACCTAACGGTACTATATTGCATATATGCAAGTAGCAGAAAGAGGCATGAGCTCATTGATTACTCTCTCTCTGCCATAGCCAACTACTTCTTCTCAGTAATTATGCTCACAGAGCATCTATGAAACCACCTCTTCTTTCACCCTTTATTACTTCATCCAAGTAACAACGACTCTTTTATCTCTTCTTCTCCCAGAAAGAGAGAGATAGATAGAGAGAATCCTCCTTTAAACTTTTTCTTTCTCTCAGTCTCTTCCTCCTAACAATGGCTGACAAAAACCCACTTCAAAAATGCTTTCTTTTCACCATCTTATCCTTGAATCTCATGTTTCTTCAAGCAGAAACTGGTCTAATCTCTCAGAAGAAGACGTACGTTGTCCATATGGATAAATCTGCCATGCCTTCACCTTACACTAATCACCTACAGTGGTACTCTTCAAAGATAGACTCTGTAACGGATCCCAAATCTCATAAAGAAGAAGAAGGCAACAGAATACTCTACACTTACCAGACGGCGTTTCACGGATTAGCTGTTCGGCTTAGCGAGGAGGAAGCAGATAGGCTCGAGGAAGAAGATGGTGTTGTGGCTGTGATTCCTGAGACAAGGTACGAGCTTCACACGACAAGAAGTCCCACGTTCCTCGGGTTAGAGAGACAAGAGAGTGAGAGAGTCTGGGCGGAGAGAGTCACCGACCATGATGTGGTAGTTGGTGTTTTAGACACTGGGATTTGGCCTGAGAGTGAGAGCTTCAACGACACAGGCATGTCCCCTGTTCCATCTACTTGGAGAGGAGCCTGTGAAACCGGGAAAGGGTTCTTTAAACGTAACTGCAATAGAAAAATCGTTGGTGCTAGAGTCTTCTACAGAGGCTATGAAGCTGCGACGGGGAAGGTCGATGAAGAGATCGAATACAGATCACCAAGAGACAAAGACGGTCACGGGACACACACTGCAGCCACAGTAGCTGGCTCACCGGTTAGAGGAGCAAATCTCTTTGGATTCGCTTACGGTACAGCTCGAGGGATGGCTCCAAGGGCAAGAGTCGCTGCTTACAAAGTCTGTTGGGTCGGTGGGTGTTTCAGCTCAGACATTCTTTCAGCCGTTGATCAAGCTGTTGCTGATGGAGTCCAAGTCCTCTCTATCTCTCTCGGTGGTGGGATCTCAACTTATTCCCGGGACAGTTTAGCTATAGCGACGTTTGGAGCAATGGAGATGGGAGTTTTCGTCTCTTGCTCAGCCGGTAACGGAGGTCCTGATCCCATCAGCCTCACGAATGTCTCTCCATGGATCACAACAGTCGGTGCAAGTACAATGGACAGAGACTTCCCAGCTACAGTGAAGCTTGGAACGATGAGAACATTCAAAGGAGTTTCGCTTTACAAAGGCAGAACGGTTCTGTCTCTGAACAAACAGTATCCTCTGGTTTACTTAGGAAGGAACGCGAGCAGCCCTGATCCGACATCCTTCTGTCTAGACGGAGCTCTCGACGGACGCAACGTGGCGGGCAAGATCGTGATATGCGACCGTGGTGTCACTCCACGTGTGCAAAAGGGTCAGGTCGTGAAAAGAGCCGGAGGAATCGGGATGATTCTGACCAACACCGCAACGAACGGAGAAGAGCTAGTCGCAGACTCTCATTTGCTTCCAGCTGTTGCAGTGGGAGAGAGAGAAGGCAAACTGATCAAAGAGTACGCGATGACGAGCAAGAAACCCACAGCGACACTACAGGTTCTTGGAACAAGAATCGGGATCAAACCGTCTCCTGTCGTAGCAGCATTCTCTTCAAGAGGACCGAACTTTCTCTCGCTAGAGATCTTGAAACCTGACTTGCTAGCTCCTGGAGTTAACATTCTCGCAGCTTGGTCAGGAGACATGGCTCCATCGAGCTTATCATCTGACAAAAGAAGAGTTAAGTTCAACATACTCTCAGGAACATCAATGTCGTGTCCTCACGTGAGCGGCGTGGCGGCTCTGATCAGGTCGAGGCATCCGGATTGGAGCCCCGCAGCGATCAAATCAGCTCTCATGACAACAGCTTACGTCCACGACAACACGCTCAAGCCACTCTCGGATGCGTCAGGAGCATCTCCTTCGTCGCCTTATGACCACGGTGCAGGACACATAGATCCTTCGAAAGCTATAGACCCTGGTCTTGTCTACGACATTGGACCTCAAGACTATTTCGATTTCCTCTGCACTCAAGAACTAAGCCCTTCACAGCTAAAGGTCTTCACAAAGCATTCAAACAGATCCTGCAGACACAGTCTTGCTAATAACAATCCGGGGAACTTGAATTACCCGGCGATCTCAGCTTTGTTCCCGGAGAACACACGTGTTAAAGCTATGACACTAAGAAGAACAGTGACTAATGTTGGTCCTCATGTTGCAAGCTACAAGGTCTCTGTCTCTCCTTTCAAAGGCGCTTCGGTTATTGTTCAGCCTAGTACACTGAACTTCACTAGGAAACACCAGAAGCTTTCGTACACGGTGACTTTCAGGACGAAGCTGAGGATGAAGCGGCCTGAGTTTGGTGGTCTTTTGTGGAAGAGCTCTACGCATAAAGTTCGTAGCCCGGTTATAATCACATGGTTGCCTCCTCTGTAGAGAAGAAGAAGAACCATTGTTGGGAGCGATTGTAATGTTTTTAGTTCCTTTGAATAAACTTTGTCATGTAATGAGAGATCTTCTTCTAGATTCAAATGCAACGAATTGTTCTTATTTTGTCTCAATTGAATTGGATTCGATCATATATGCAAAACCAACGATCATGTTCTATCAGAAAGCTCGCGCACAAAAATGCAGATATCAGTATAACTCGTTCACCTTTCTACAATCTGGATTTTGCATGATCGTACCACTACTCTTATGAATCAAAATGGACGAAGACGGAGGATACTGCAGAACCCTAATCAATGTTGCATCTTCCCAGATTTCTCCACACGAAACTACAATTCGATTTCGCGAAAACTAAACGAGATGGTTAAGGGAAGCAGTAAAGAGTGTGAATGTTATGGAACAGTCAAAGTTGAAACTGAGACGCACCTGTAAATTCGAGAATCTACGGCGGAGCCACCAACTGATCCGCCGTGGGAGATCCTTTCCCGTGGCAGGTGAGGAGGGGATAGGGTCAGAGTTGACTTTTCCTATACCCAAACAAAACCTTGGGCTTTTCTGGGATGGATCATCGACTCTTGGGCCCAAGAAAGATAAACTCTCAAAAAATATAAATGACAAATTCTATGTAGCATGGGATTCCTTTTAAAGTTTTAATAAAGGATATTTAAAATCAATAACAAAAGAATATATAATTTACAAAATAACGATTTTATTTTTTCTATCTTTTCCTCTCTTTCTAGAAAATAAGTTATTTTATGAAAAAAAATTCTTTTTTAGTTATTCAACAAATTCTCTCTTTTAATAACAAAAAAAAGAAACAAACATGTGCTCGTAGTCTTATAAAAAAAATGGATCTTCATTTCAAAAGAAGTTGTTTTCAAAAGCATTTTTTTTCAAAAGAAATTAACGACGTACGTATACTGTGCTATGCTTGTAAAATCAAACTGAAACTCACATATATTTTAAACCGTTTTTTCCTATAGTTTCTGTAATGATAATTATATGTGAGTTTTTCAGATTGATTTTCCACGCCTAAATATATTCTGATATACCATGTTTTCTTTTTAGTTTAATTAAAAGCACCAAGAAGTGGCTATAAAGTATAAATTTGACCTTTGATCCGAAAACAAAAAAATAACTCGGCGTGATCTGCTGCAAATAGCGTAGATCCATAAACTTTCATTAAGTGACAAATAATAAATCAATATTATAAATTGTCAAGAGATATTATCGTGAAAATTATACTATAATACAATATCTAGTCTCGTGTGCTTAACTTAGCCTAAGAGTGAAACTGATATTTTGAATATCTAGTCTCGTGTACTAACTTAGCCTAAGAGTGAAACTGATATTTTGTAATTAGCGAACAATCTTAAAGTTGATTTGTATCTCCTGCGCCGTACATGTTTGATTCCAAGTTGTCCTTTCAGGACATTGACTCTTGGGAAGTTGGTTAAATACCATGAATCAAAACTGTATACTACCTATAGTTTAAACAACATGACTAAAACATTTTTGTAAGCAAAGTAGTACTAGTCTACTAGATAATACTTAAATGAGTTTATAAATTTTTCAGTATTAAAGTTTAGATGGCTTTGAAACGATAATGTTTAGAGCTAAGATCGAGATATGCTTTGACATAATATTAGTTTACAAACGTTTCAGGTTGTTTTGCAAAACGACAAATATCTCAATCTGTGTACTTGTCCCATGAACAAAAATCCATGGAATAACTATGACAAAGTTTTGTAATAAGTGAACACTGAAGATGAGAACAGTGTTAAGGGAGCTTCGAGTAACTTCTTTTGTTTAGAAAATCCAAAAAAGAAACAAAGAGATGTGTGATGCAAAAGCAGTAAGTCTAAAGCTGCGATATCTTGCCCCTTGGTTTCCACTTAGGGCTTGGACGGTGAATTGCAGCTTAGAAAGCTGCCATACGACCACGTGGAATTACATGTTTTTAAGATAAGTTTCTCATTTTCCTCCCCATAATAATTTTTTTGTGTGTTCAAGTTCGTAAATTGTTGACTGCATCCAAATTGAGTACTGGACATGAAAAAACCTATTTAGAAAAATACAGTAATTGTTGACAATGGTTCTGTGTAAGGGTTTAGTTTTTGGTTTGGTTTAGGTTCAGTTTTTTGTTTTTGTTTTACAGTTAATCAGTTTTATAAAATTCAAATCATATAAAAGTATATGTATTTTGGCTTGGTTTCTTTCAGTTTTATAAGAAATTAAAATCATATAAATATTTGTAATTTGATTTAGTTTGGTTTGGTTCAGTTTTAATTTTTTCATACATCATAATGTTATAAAAAAAATTTGATCTAATTAATTTTTTTCTAAAAACGCGTGGTCAAATGATTGGTGAGACTTATAAATGTGCTATAACACTCCTTTAAATATTTGGGCCTTTTTCAAAACAAAAAATTACATTTATATAAGAAGTTTGGATTTAAACTTTAGTCCAAATGGTTTATTTGATAGTTCGGTAACAGACAATCTGACTATTTATGGCATTAATTGAAAAAGTATTCCAAATTAAATATAGATATTATAATAACTTTTCATGGAGACGTCCAGTATAACATTTTGGTATATTTCTACCAAAACTGAACAGATCGATCAATCAAATATATTTAAATAAATATCTAAAAATTAAAAGACTTATTTATATAAAAAAAAACAGGCGACAATTGCAAATAACTTTTTGTATTATCAAAAACGTCTTTTGTTTTGTTTGTTTGAGAGGTTTATTAACTTTTTATTACTATATAGATATTGTTTTTAAACTTAAAAATTAGTATATTATAAAAAAAGTTATGAATCTAAATTAAATTAAGAAAATATAAATATTAAAAATTTGATTTTAAAACCAGAAAAAAAAACTAATCAGTTTTATCGGTTTTAGCTATAAACCAAACTAAAACTGAAATCTTAATAAAAAAATAATAACCAAATGAATTTTTCGATTACAATACAACTAAACTAAATTATTTATTTCATTTTTATGGGTTTAATTTTTTCGGTTATAGTTTTTTTTCTCACCCCTAGTTACAGTATGTGCCTCAACCCACTATAAATTTAATATTCTGTAAGAAAGTTGTAAACATTGACTACTGTGTCTCGTAAATCGTAATTATATAGTACTGTCGAAATATATAACAACCATTATTCAAAGAAAATCTGTTAGCATAAAATATATATATCGCCGTTTTTCTTCCATTGTAGGAAACGAATTAAAGAATAAAAGCCATATGGCCTTGATGGACTAAACTAAACTTGCATAGCAACGCCACGTGTTTAGTTGGTACAAGTCGCACAAGCTGAGGAATCGAGGAATCGAGAAGTTTTTGATCATCACCATGTTGTAGCACCGAAAAAGAGTGACGAGTGACGACGATCTGACGACGATCCGTCAACTTTTTTCTCCGACGATATCTCCAACTTTGTGATTTATCCCATGATTTGGTGTAAGTGTCGTTTTTTTTTCAGAAAATTTTACTCGAGATTTGGAACGATCAGTAAATGTTATTCCAGATTTTAGTATAACTTTTTTTCATTTCCATTTCTATGATCATTATCTGCAAAAATTACCATGCATGCATGATAAGCTTGGTGGCTAGTTAGCAACTGGTAATCATAAATAAAATGTATTGGCTACTGTTGTTTAGTGAGAAATTCTTCTCGTGACCATTCATCATGATTCATGGCTTTTCGGCTTTTAGCTACAAAATAAAAGTTTGTCTACATTAAAATAACTTTTAGTCTTTTACGATATTTACCTTTGTATCGTTAATTGTCAATTTGCGAAAGTAATTTTCGTGTCTTAAGAACATACAAGCTAGTACAAATCACTTATCGATTAGAAGAGTGGTGGTGTTTCTTTACAAATTTTAGTCAAATGAAGCTAAATTAAGCATGATGGGTTGGTTTTTTTTCTGAAGACGACACCATTCGTAGTTACTTAATGCTTATTATAAATGATAGTTTATACAGTATACAATGTTACTTAATTTATGAAGAACCCGAAATAAGCATATATATATATTGTAATATATTAACATGCGATTTTTAGAACGGATTCATAGACAACTTCAAAACTTATTTTGACTAGATTTTATGTTTTTGAAATTTTAATTTTTTGGTTAACTATCTTACATAATTTTACTTAAAGTAAATATTCAGAGTTACTTAATAATTATTATAAAAAATTTTGGTTAAGATTATATTATTAAAATTCAAATAAAATATCCCCATATATAATTTTATTATAAACTACAATCTACTTTTTAGTATCAATTTTTATTTATATTTTGATCATTATCAAATTAAAATTTCATCAACAAAAAACATTTGAATAAATTAAAAATTTGTATATCACCTTTTTAACCATCGATTTTACAATAAAAATTATATAAATTAATATTCGATAAATTAATAAATTTAATAAATTAATAATTTTATCATATTCTAAAATTTATAATTAATTAATTAAAAATTTTATTTGATTTTAATATTATTAATCTATAGATTTTGTACTGTAATTAAAAAAATATGTTTAAAACTCAAAAGAATTTCAAAACCGAAGGCGTCTCCACGTGGATAACAACTTAACACCTGAGCCCAACACGCGAATGAACCTAGAAACTGACACGTGTCCTGTCTTCCTCGTAAGCTCTCACTTTCAAAGCTGAGTCGCCCTCTCTCTCTCTCGTTTCCATGTATATAAAGGTGCAATGCTCACTGATCCACGGAGACGATGTTGAGATCATTGAAAAATCACTTTCGACGACATTACTGAATCAAACTTCTTCGATGACCGAAATCTACAGAACAATCTCCACCGCACGTAGAGACGACGTTTCTCCGACTAAATGCCGTGAGCGCCGTCGACGGAGAATCGAGATGCGGAGGCAAGCGGCGGTTTTCGGCGAAACAAGTTCGTCTTCATCGTCCAAGAACCGAGATCGGACGGAGCAAGACGTTTATTCAACCTTCATTCCTGTCAGGAAACAGCCATGGAGAACGACGACGGAGATCGGCGGTCTTCCCGGGAATATCGGAGTGGCGTCTCCGTCTACCTCTCACTGGAAATCGGAAACTCAAGTGAGGAAGAGAGAAGAAACAGACGATGAGCCGATGTACGGAATAGTTTCGGTTATGGGAAGATCCCGTAAGATGGAGGACACGGTTACTGTTAAACCGAATTTATGTAAACCGGAGATTAACCAACAAAAACCGGTTCATTTCTTCGCTGTATACGATGGCCATGGCGGTTCTCAGGTAAAAGCAATGAAATAATTCATCACCAAAATTTAAATTTCCGATGCTAACTGATTGAAACAATAAATATTGAATAACTTTAAAAAAGCAAAGAAATAATATTTCACCAGGGGCGTTTTGGTCATTTTAACAGGTGTCAACAATGTGCAGCACGACGATGCACACGTTAGTTAAGGAGGAGCTGGAGCTAGAAGAGGATGAAGGAAACGACGTCGTGGAGAAGAAATGGCGAGGAGTGATGAAGAGGAGTTTCGAGAGGATGGATGAGATGGCGACGAAATCGTGCGTTTGTGGAACCACCGCGTTGCTGTGCGGCTGCGATCCAAGGGAAGCTGCGATTTCGGGTTCCACGGCGGTTACGGCGGTTCTGACGCAAGAGCACATAGTCGTAGCCAATACAGGTGACTCACGTGCGGTGTTGTGTCGAAGTGGGATGGCTATACCTTTGAGTAACGATCATAAGGTGGTTTAGTTAATACTCTGTTTTGGCTCGTACCATAACATTTGGGCTCATGGTTGGGTGTTTGTGTAGCCGGATAGACCGGACGAGCGTGCGAGGATTGAAGCAGCTGGTGGTCGAGTTTTAGTTGTGGATGGAGCTAGAGTTGAAGGGATTCTAGCCACGTCGAGAGCCATAGGTAAAATATTTTTCTCATTTTTTAGGCTTTGGTAAAACGTAAAAGATAATATGAAAGTTGTGAGACACTGTCGAAAGTTGGTAAGGAGCTAGCACGAGGGATGTTTTATTGAGGGTTTTTGGGTTCGGTTTTGGTTTCAGATGTTTGGGTTTCCCGAAAATAGTAACTAATGTAAAACCAATTATTTGGTCTGCTACGATTTTTCACTTTATAAGTTCTATAAATTTCTGACCGAAAAAAAGATGTTTAATAAATTGTTCTTTCCAAAATATGTACTCCATTAGTGGGTTTAGGTTAGGTGTCGTTTTGGGGGGTTTTCATACGAATTATAAACTTTTTAGAGTATATTACGCAGAATTGTATACTTCTTTTAGTCAGAAAGCTAAAACAATTATAAAGAAAATTGAAATTTCGTCTAAAAAACGGTATCTTATTGAAACAAACGTGAAGTGCTAAACCTACTCTTTTTATGAGAAGGAATGAGTACTAATTTCACATATTTGATATGAATTGCTAATTCATTTCTAGAACTTACTAATTATAAATTTTTCTTATTGTTATTCGTAGCACTAACTATATAAAAAAAATATAAAAAATTGTGGGTATTCAAACAAATCATCTAAAAGATTATAATGAAATAAGCATATTTTAAACTGCCAAACAATTCAAGTTAATTTTTGTTCAGTGTTTGATGATATTGACCAACTTTATATTTGTTTTAGTTTTTTCTTTTTACAATTTATTTGACTAAACATCATGTTTAGTATGAGCAAATAGATCCTATAATATTGTGTTACAATCCACTGAACAGGGGATAGGTATCTAAAGCCAATGGTAGCATGGGAACCAGAAGTAACATTCATGAGAAGGGAATCTGGAGATGAATGCTTAATATTGGCGAGCGATGGGCTTTGGGACGTGCTCTCGAGTCAACTAGCTTGCGACATAGCTAGGTTTTGTCTCCGCGAAGATACTTCCTCGAGTCTTGATTTAAACAGAACGGCTCAAGAAGACGACAACGGAGGAGGAGGATCAGAACAGAATCCTTCGAGGAGTGCATTGGCTGCAACGTTGCTTACACGGTTGGCTTTGGGTAGACAAAGCAGTGACAATATAAGTGTGATTGTCATTGATCTCGAGAATAGCTCTCAATAGTACTGGTTTCGCATCAGTTTTTTTTTGTTCGGTTATAATGCCAAAGGAATAAGAAAATGTTGATTTAGCGATGAGCCTTGATTTGTTTTTAGGGCTTATTGGTTGTGTCTTTGTTTTGTTATGAATTGGGGATTACGAAAAACATTAACAACGGCGAATGTTGAAAAACGAAGGGATAGAGAGAGTGGTTTGGACTGTGGACATGGGCTTATGTGGTGGTTTTAGCAATAAAATAAGAGTTAACTTGAAATAAATGTATTTGTCTCTTTGTGTTTGTTCTAACATTTTGAAGTAATTAGCTAATTAGTTTGCATGTGTGTCCTAAATGGATGAAATGAAATTGTAGTGCTTTGGGTTGGTCGTTTTAATTCATTTGACGCCAGTCCTCACATTTGCGTCAATTTGTTGTTTAGTTTTCTTAAAATATTTTTTTTTTCTGGGTCAAGCTCTTAAAATATTTGAGTTAAACTAATTGTTTTCCAATTTTTCGGTTTTTTAGGTTTATAAATTTAAAAAGAACACCACATCATAACGTACAAAATGAAAAAAAAACTTGACCGTGTGGTTATTGTAGGCAATAGCATTGGTGTGTCATTGTGCAAATGTAAAAAAAAAAAAAAAAAAACGCAGAGAAAACAATTTGAACTAGTCTAACGTGAGACCAAGTTTGGGTCTAATTGAAACGCAAATAAGGAATCAAGAAAAAAATTTTGAAGTGAAAAAAGCGTGAGTTGGAGAATGTTCATGAGTCTTTTTTCTTTTTAAGTCATTTTCTGAATCAAGAATCGTCTCAGTGTTTGTGTCGCACTTTTCTTTGAATCATAATTGTGTTTGTGGGCCTTGTAGCTTCCCTCTACGTCTTGTTTTTGTTTCCTTGGACCACACAAAAAGTGAAAATCAAGAATCTTGTTTTTTTTTTCTTTTGTAATTTGTTTAATTTTGAAGTAGGAATCAATAATCTTCTTTTTTCTTTTGTATTTGTGTAATTTTGCACTTTAGAAAAGAAGAAAGAAAAAAAGAGTAAAGCAGATGATAAAACTCAAACTACCAAATCAGAAAATCTACTACATCTCCCTCCCTACTTAGGAAGGTTAATTCCTTTTTCTCCAAATTGACATGAAGAGTTGGTTGATTTTTCTCTACCACCTATTTTTTTATTTATTATAAATGGGCTTGGAAGGTTAGTAAGTGCCTTGCTTGAATGTCAAAAGTTAATTCTGAAATTAACAACTAAAGCAATAAATTGTCAAACAAAATTCTAACGACAATCACTTTTGTGGTCCAAATTAGCTACGTAACGAGATATAGTTAACCTAAATCACATTTAAGCTGAATAATGAAAGGATGTATCTAAGATCATAAATTTAAACATAATTTGTAACTGGTTTTGATCTCATCAAGAATCTAAGATATATAATGGAGCTAGAGTATATAAAACAAATTCTAAACTTTTACTAATTCATATCAATTTTTTGAAAAATATATATTCAAAATTTTAGCAAAACAAAAAATATGCATTTAGTATCATCTCCAAACACACATATTTTTGTCCAGTCATTACATTTATCATCCGAACAAATAATTTCTTCTACACCATTGGATCTTTTTATTCGGTAAAACATCCACGTGCAACAAAACATAATCTTTTTTTAACATATTACTAGGTGGTTGCCTGCACATATGTGCATGTATAATTTTTTTTAATATACATAGTTAATTGTAATATTTAAATATTGATTAGTTTTTTAAAATATTGGTATGTATGTGTATATATTATTTTAATATTTTACAAACTCCTTTCTGAAACCAATATATTTTAAAAACTTTATTTTTATAATGCTTGTAATAATATATAATCACAAATATAAAAGTTATGTTAAATAATAATTAAATTCTTATAATATTTTTTGAATATTTCTATAATATACTTTATTTCTCCTTACACAATCTACAATATGATTTTTTGCATCTTACATATATAAATTTATAAATACATATATAATATATTTTAAGTACATATTTTTCTTGATTTATTGCAAATTAAGCTAAAATAGTTTTTATAATTTTTACTTATTCTTAAGAGCGGATCGATGGTTGGCACGCATGTGCAGACATACCAACCACTTCACTACACTTAGAATAGATAAATATTTTTTAAGAAAATACTAAATTGTATAATAATTAAAATAAAAATTAGTTTGTAATCAATCTTAACAAAATACATACACGAAAAAGTTCGCATGTGACTTCAACTAATGTACAATTAATATTTATGTCTGTACACGTATTGTAAAAAGTTGAAATATGGCTCTTAGGTGTTAAAGTGGCTTTGTAAAACAAAACACGAGAGATTTATTTTTATATACTTCTATTTTTATTTTTTTATTTATATTGTTTCATCTTATTATAATTTATTCTTTCGTTCGGTTATTTTTCATTTTGTTTATGTTTTCAAAATTTTGATATACAATGAAAATAAATTTATGTATATATATATATATATATATACATATGATACAAAATTTATTTTTATTTAAAATATGATAAGAGATAAGATGAGATGGTAATATAAGTTATGTATATTTTAGAAAACAACAATAAAAAATGAAAAAGTTATAGAAAAATATATGGTCATATTAATATTATAAAATAATAATTAGTATATACTTTATTCATTTAGTAAATATTGGTTTGAAAAGATAAATTATTTAAAATTACGTTTTTTTTAAAAAATCAATAAAAGTTGATTATTTTTTATTATTTTTAACATTTTATTCTTTAAATTATTTATATCATGATCGTATTTTATTTAAAAATGTATTATTTAATAATTTTTTTATTTAAAACTTATTTGATGTTATTAATATATTTTGTAAATTAATAACTTTCTGAAATTAAAATATATCATACTTCAAGTATTATTAATAATTAGAATTTTTATTATTTTAGATAATTTAGTATTATTTTATCGTTTTATATGAAATTATAATATATATATTGTTAAAAAAATTTGTAATTATATTTTATGAAATTATGAATAAATGTAAAAATTAAAATTATAATAACTTTTATTTTCTGTTAATTTAAATTTGTTAATTTAGTGTTATAAATATAATATAGTTTATTTGTGTTTTAATTCCACAATTTTTATAATTTTAATTCAACTAATCAAAATATTTCGTTTATTTTAGAAAGTTTGACATATCACATTTACATATCATCAATTGAAAGCACTAACTTTGGTTGTAGTGTTGACAAGTAAGCTATTTTCAATAATGTTATTTCTCAAATAATATGTAGTGGATGTTATATCAGAATAATATTAGTTTTTTTTAAACATACTAGGCTATATCAGAATAGTTAAATAGAACATAAAAAAAAAACTAATGAAAAGACCATCAAGCAAGTTATATCAGAATAATATTAGATTTTTTTCATGGTAACTCTTTGCTACTCTATCTTCAGCTTTTGTGTGAGCTCCTGAACGTCTATGCCGGTATCAACCACCAAACACCTCGGGCGATTGGCATCCTTATCCCCATTCTCTCTCATAAGACTCATCATCTCTTATACATTCTCAACTTCAGTCATCTCCTTCTTCTTATCATTAAGAGCGCAGAGTTATATATGCGTCTTGTATATCACAAAAGTTTACTCTTAATTAACTGATTGGATTGAAATCCTACACGATATTGTTTTCATTATGCAGTGTTTTTAGAAGTCCAAAAAATATCAATAACAACACGTGAGCGATCAAGGGATTTTCTCATAGACAACCCTATGCCATGAAGTAGTTGTAGTCAACAAGCTCCCATTCTTAAGAAAAAGGAGTAAAACAGATGATTCAACTCAAACTACCAAATCAGAAATCTACTACATTTCACTCCCTCCTTAATCTACCTGGTTTGGTCTTTTTCCCCCAGATTATTAATGACATTAAGACTTTGGTTATTCTTCTTTACGACCTAGTTTTAAGTGATTATAAATGGGCTTGGGGTGGTGAAATTAGTAAATGTCTTGCTTGAATGTCAAGTGTTATTCTGATATTAACATTGTCAAAAAAAGTTCTAACTAACTACTTTTGAGGTCTTCTAGTTATTGAAGCATAGAACTAATAATACAATAGTATATGATTAGTAAACAAATTCTGAAATTTCATTCAAAATGTCGAACAAAATATATGAAATATTTTAGCAAAAAAGCAAACAACAAAAGTAAAACAAAATATATGCAATCCGTATCATCTCCATACTCATTGCACTCATTACATTCATCATCTGAACAAACAATAGATCTTTTTTCTCAGTCAAACTTAAAATAATACTATTTTGTTTTTGTTTTTTTGAACGTACTAATTATGCAAAAATAGACTCGCTAATTAATCTTCTTTTATGTTCTCTTTTAACATAATAAATTTTTATATTCCTTTTTTTTAGAACGGTGGTGTTGTTTTTTTAATGTCAATCAAACAATTACCAAAACATTTCTTAATTGTGTCCAATCAAGTAAACAGTGTTGTTTCATGTTTGTTTGTCATCCTTGTTTTTTTTTTTATAGAAAAATATGTTTACACAAATCAATTTGAGCTATCTTCCACATGAATGGTAAGTAGTTAGAGAAGCTAATGATGCCGTTGCAAATGTTCTTTAGCTTATTTTTATTTCAATAAAAATCATGTAAGCAAACTAAATGGATAAAAATAAGTCATGTGGGAATAATAACATTTTCTCTTTTCATCCCAATTCAGTTTGTTTCTACGCAAATTATTCATTTTTGAATCGTTACATAATCAATAGTAAAATTAATGAGATAGCAACCTCTTTCTAGAAACATTGTGTAGTTGTTAATTCAAGTCGTAAAATTTGCTTGATATAGAATAAAATAATTATTCACCTATAAGAAGAATGGTAGGTAAAAAAAATATCTATCGCAGGTGGTCGGACCCATTAGTACATTTTAAAAAAAGAATTCATTTGATCAATAATCATCTTTGTTGAGTTATTTAATTAGACAAATCCAAAATTCGAAATGATTTTCTTAATAGCCATTGTCACTTTGACCCATGTGAACTTATATTATTCAACCATACGTTCTCATTACTTAATTTTGATATAAGCAACACCAATGAGAATATTACACATGTGATATGTAACTTTAATCACTGAATTAGTTTTAGATTTTAAATTATTATAGTAAAAAGTTACAGAGTGTCAACCGTCAGACTTTAATGATAGTCTTTGCGTGATGTAACTTAAAAAAAAAAAACAATTCATTAAATGTAAGAAAAGTCATTAACTACTGTGTGACCACACAAATTTCGTAACAGCTCATCTTAGAGAGTGAAATCGGAAGAAGAAAAAAAACAATTTTAGTTGAGAGAAAAAAAAAAGAGAGCAAAAAAATCATAAATTTCTTCCGGTTTATGGTTCAGATTCGACCAATCAAATTTCTATGCCGTCACGAGCAATCCCGTCGCCGGCACCGGTGAATCCGCCGTCGTCAGTTCACCACGAGAGGACCACGCGCATCTTCCCGCCGCTTACGGCCGCCGGCGTCGGGTTCTCTCTCTTCATCACACTCTCCGTCTGTTTCTGCAAATTCAGCCGCAAACGTCGATCCTCTAACGCGGTAGACTCGTCCTCTTCGCCGCCGCATCAGAGACCGCCGTTAAATGAGTTCTCTTACTCGTCTCTCCGCAAAGCCACCGCCTCTTTCTCGCCGGAAAACAAGCTAGGTCAAGGCGGGTTCGGTTCCGTGTTCCGCGGAAACTTACCTAAATCGTCCGGTGGGAATGTAGCCGTTAAGGTAATGGATTCAGGTTCTCTTCAAGGAGAGCGTGAATTTCAGAACGAGCTCTTCTTCGCCGGTAAGCTTGATTCTCCTCAAGTAGTTTCCGTTATCGGATTCTCTCAAGACCCAAAACGACGCCGTCTGATTCTCGTCTACGAGCTCATGGAGAACGGAAATCTCCAGGACGCGCTTCTCCACCGTAAATCCCCTGAGCTCATGGAATGGAATCGGCGGTTTCTCGTTGCGGTTGACATCGCGAAAGGGATCCAACACCTCCACAGCTTGAACCCGCCTGTGATTCACGGCGATTTGAAACCTAGCAACATACTACTGGATCGAACCTTCTCTGCTAAAATCGCCGATTTCGGTCTCGCGAGGTTGAAATCAGATCATGTTGAAGTCACGGTAGCATCAGAGAATGATGAGATTAGGTTTGAGAGTAATGGATCTGTAGTGGAAGATGTAGAGAGTGTGATAACTAACACGACTGGGTATGAGGAATCTAACTTTGGGTTCACTGATCAGTCTCCGGTGAGTGTTTCCAAGGTCCCTGGGTCGCCGGAAACGTTGCAGGTGCCACTGACATCGCCGGAGACGACGACGACTACTGTCTCTGTTTCTCCGGAAATAGCAGAGAAAGTCAGTGACTTTAATGTGGTGAAACGAAATGGGAAAGAGATGGAGAACAAAGATTGGTGGTGGAAGCAAGAAGGCAATGGTGGTAAAGGGAAAGTGAAGGATTATGTGATGCAATGGATTGGCTCAGAGGTTAAGAAGGAAAGACCGAGTAGCGATTGGATTGGTGAAGCCGCTGAAGCAGCTTCTTTGTCGAGTAAGAAGCTTGAGAAGAAGAAGAGTAGCAAGAAACTAGAATGGTGGCTTTCGTTGGATGAAGATAAAGAGAAGAAGAAAAAGAGGATGGTGAGAGAATGGTGGAAAGATGAGTATCGAAAAGAACTCGCTAAGAGAATGAAGAAGAAGAAGAAGAAGAAAACTTTGGAGTCTGAGTTTTACAGTGATGAGGTGAGTGTTGATGAAGAAGAATCGTACAGAAGGAAGAGAAGAGGTAGCAGCAGTAACAGTATAAGTAGTAGCATAGATTGGTGGTTAGATGGGCTAAGCGGTGAGCAATGGAGAGCACGGCGCAGAAACAGTCATGATTCAGTTAAAAGCTGTGGAGTCACTAGCACGCCGAGCATGAGAGGGACGATGTGCTACGTTGCGCCTGAGTGTTGTGGTAATAACATGGACGATGTCTCTGAGAAATGTGATGTGTATAGCTACGGAGTTTTGTTGTTAGTCCTGGTTTCAGGACGACGTCCGCTGGAAGTAAACGGACCAGTCTCTGAGATCATACAGCGCGCGAACCTCATGTCGTGGGCACGGAAGCTTGCGAGAAGAGGGAGACTCGGTGATCTTGTGGATGAAAAGTTGCAGGCTTTGGACCAAGAACAAGCGGTTTTGTGCATAAAGGTAGCTCTTCAGTGTCTGCAGAGATCACCGGTCTCAAGACCTTCGATGAAAGAAGTTTTAGGGATGCTTACCGGAGCGATGAGCCCACCGGAGTTGCCTACAGAGTTTTCGCCGTCACCACAGTCGCGATTCCCGCTCAAGACACGAAGGAAGCAGCGTCGATAGAGATCATGTGATGGTTTTTGTGTGTTACTTTAAAATTTTAAATTATAAAGATGATTAACTTTGGAGGTCTAGTATTAATTGGTTAGAGCAACTTTTGTTTTGATAATCTTGTTTCTGTAGTTACATGACGCATAACACTGTCTTTGTTACTTGTTAGTGTTGTTTAGGGTTTTAGCCACTTGATTTCTTTTAGCTTTTTTGTTACTCGATTCCAAGTCTGTTTGATAACATTGCACATAGTTGAAAAATATATGATTCTTAACAATTTATCCTACGTCGGATTTTCTTTTACTTTGTAGCTCGTCCTCCATTGTTATTCGACACTATTTTTGCAGACTTTTGATATGTTTATGGTTTGTTAATTTCCTTATAAGTTTAATCTTTGGCTTCTTTCCCAATCAATGGCAGAAAACTATGGAAGGGTATACAAAATAAATATTCTGATAAATTTATTAAATTTGTAAAGAGTTTGTTAAATTTATAAAAGTTATGTATATTTGAAAAAAAAAATCAAAATATTTTATTATAATGATTTTAAAAATTTAAATATATAAATAGTATTTAAAAGTTTTATTTTATGAGTTATACTGTTAACAATTTTTATCCATATAACAAATATTTTAATAAATTGATAGAATTATTAAAAACTAAACTTTTTGAATAACAATAGATTTTATATAGAATTTAAAAATATTTATATCAATAACAGTAGATTTTAGTAAAAATGTTAAAAAATTTATCTACCAATAACAACATAATCTCAAAATCATAAATATAATTAGGGAAAACTCTCTCCAGTGGAGCTATCCAGCTCGGCAACTAATTTTAATATTTTTATGGACTTTTAATTTTCTAATTTTTATGGGCTTTTATTTTGTATATAAATATTTTACAAACCGCAAAATATAAATTATCTAATTTTTATATTTAAATGGGCTTTTACATATATATTTCTTGGATACTCATATGACATAATTTAAAAGTTAAAAAACAAACACTTATTTTACAAGCCACAAAAATGTAAAATATCTACAAATAAAAAAATTAGAATGCTATTTCGAATAAGAAATAAAGAAAGTGTGAGACATTGATAGTTAACTTATTTTTTAATGGGCAATTTTCATAATTACACTGAAAATAAGTTTTTAGGATAAATATAACAGGGAAGCTAAAATTTTTCCACCCCTAATATTTTTCATTTGAGTTTTCTAATATTACCCTTTAGGAAATTCTTCCTAAATGTTTTTTTCTGTTAATATTTCGTGATTTTTTTAGGAAGATCTTTCAAATAGTAGAATTTAACATCGTTTCATATGGTTTAGGAAAGCTTTCATAATTTTTTTTAAAATTCCTGAATTGTGGAAGGGTTTCCTGAATTGTGGAAAGGTTTCTTGAATTTGAGTTGTATAAATTAACAAAAACAATAATCATTTATACGATTTACAAAAGAGTTCCTAAATACATGTAAAGACTTTCTTAATTTATACATTTTTGGAAAATCTTCCTAAAACTTTAGGATATCATCCTAAATTTACGCTCATCTCCTTCCTCACCTCTGCGACATCCAAACCCTAATTTCCGCCGATTTCTTTTTTTTCACCATTGTAGCTGTTTTAGCTCTGTTTTAGCTCGGGTTTTTTGAGTTTTTTACCTAATTATATCAGATCTATCTATCATTATATGATTTTGAGCTTTAAATCCCGAAATCACTTTTCCATCAAAAAACCCCCAAAAATCTAAGAGATTGACAATCACAAACAAATGAGAAGAGTGATCCTATACAAAACAAATGATTCGAATTTCAGATCAGTCTTGACCATTGATACATTTGTTTGTACATTATTTTTTTCTCTTTTTATTAATTAATGTTTTTTCTAACTAAGATTAATATGATACAAAATGTTATAGAAGGAATTTTTTAGAGTGTTAGTGTATATATGGAACAAAAACTTAGATTAGGTGCATTTGAGAGAATTTCTCTTTTCTAATCTCTTCAAAAATAAGCGACATATAAAAAATAAATACAGTTATGGAAATAAAAGATATAGATACATACGATAATGTAAATATAAGATCGAGTTTATTAAACAATTAACACATCACTATTCATAATTAAAATAATTTAACAATAGCTCTACATATTTTTAGATTAATTAAAAAACTAAAACAGCATTTAAAATTTAAAACGAACAGAACAAAAATTAAATAGATAAAGATAGTAGTAATATAAAAATATGGTTTCAATTAAAAAATAAAGAGATTTGGTGAAATTGATAGTGAATTTTTTTCTGTTGATCTTGCTCAAAATAAGCAACCTAAAAAAACCAACTGAATAAAGATATTCAATGAGTATATATAGATATATTTGATAACATATAAGTATGAAAGTGAGTTTTTAACAATAAATACATTATAATTTTTATTTAAAATAACTTCACAATAGATCTACATATTTTAGGATAATAAAAACTAAAAAACATTTAAAATTAAAAAATGGAACGAAAAATTATTAAAAAGATAAACATAATACTAATATAAATATATAAAATTATAAATTTAAAAAATTGAATAAACAAATAGCATCGCAAATTCCTGTTGAAATACAAATTCATAGTACTATTTCAAATAAGAAAGAAAAATAGTAAGTGAGACTGGTGGTGAATTAACTTTGCAGATCTCACTTAAAATAAGTTAAAAAAATAAAATAAAAACTAATTAAATAGAGATATTCAATGAAAAATATAAATATTTATAACATCTTATAAATATAAGAAAATATTTCTTATCAATTAACAAACCATAATTTTATTAGCAAAAAATCTTTACAATAATCTTATATATTATAAGATAATAAAAAAATCAAAGTAATATTTTTATTTTCAAGAAAAAAAAGAAAAGCAAATATAAAACCATACAAAATAAATGAATAAATAAACACAATGATAATATAAATATAACTATTATTACTAACAAAAATTGATGCTAAATGCCTCTAAGGGTATCCATATAGGATAAAAAAAACTCGATATGATTGGTCCACATCAGCACTTTTCATTAAATAAAAAAAATATTGACTATAATTAAAACCTTAACTTCGTTTTAATCATAGAAAAAATAAATACAAAAACTTAACTAACATATAGAAAAAAGTTTTTGTTAAAAAACCAAAAAAGTAGTATCCTTAAAAATAAAATAGAAATTTATTTTCAAAAGAGTTAAACTAACAAAAAAATCAATATCACAAAAATTCAAACTTATAATATAGATTAGAAAAATTCTAACTTCTAAACTAATTGACAAGAAAATCTAAAATATTGATTTCGTTTAATTGATTGAAAAAATCATAATAAAAAACTTAAGTAACAAATAGAAAAAAAATTGTGTGTTACTAACAAAAGTTGATGCTAATTGCCTCTAAGGATATTCACATACGATTAAAAAAATTCGATATGATTGGTCCACATCAGCATTTTTCATTAAATATGAAAAATATTAAGCATGATTAAAACTTTAATTTTGTTTTATATAAAAAAATTTAAGTAACATATAGAAAATAAAATTATGTTAAAAATGTAAAAAAAATAGTATCCTAAAAAATAAAATAGAGATTTGTTTTCAAAAACATCAAACTAACAAAAAAACTAATATCATAAAAATTCAAATATATAATATAGATTAGGAAAATTCTAACTTCTAAATGAATTGACAAGAAAATATAGAACATTGGTTTTGTTTTATGGATGGAAAAATCAAAATAAAAAACTTAAGTAACAAATAGAAAAGAAAATTGTGTTAAAAAAACCAAAATATAGCATCCGTCAAAATTTAAAACATTAATTTCATTTTATAAATGGAAAATTAAAATAAAAAGGTTTAAGTAACAAATAGAAAAGAAAATTATGTTCAAAAACCAAAAAATAGTATCCTTCAAAATAAAATGAAAATTTATTTTCAAAAGAGGTAAACTAACAAAAAAAAAATCAATATCATAAAACTTCAAACTTATAATATAGATTAGAAAAATTCTAACTTCTAAACTAATTGAAAAGAAAATAAAAAACATGAATTTCGCTTTATAGATGGACAAATAAAATAAAAAGCTTAAGTAACAAATAGAAAAAAAAAATTATATAAAAAACCAAAATATAATATCTCTTGAAATTTAATGGAAAAAAGTCATACTAACCAAAAAACTAATATTGTAAAAGTTGAAACTTATAGCATAGATTAGAAAAAGTTATAAGTTATAATGAATTGCACATATTCAAATATATAATAATGTCATATACTGCGTAGATGCTATTAGAAAATTGATCATCATCAACGACGAAAACTTTCTTTGTCTAGTTAAGCTAATGATATCACCAATGGTGGAAGACATAATAAAATAAATATTCACTTGCAATTAAAATGATAAGCATGTTTTCCCACAACCCATTTATATATTCTAATCTGGAATATAATCTATGTTTATTTAGCATATTTTTACATTTTTTAAATAGTGGGTCAATTGTTCGTGTTACTCTTTCGCCAATTTTCAAAGAAAAATAATGAAAAGTATTGTCAAACCTGTCGTGTTCCTCGCCACAGTTATGGACCCAAAAAGATTTCAAGGTTTATAATCTCAATCAAATAATTACCATTGTTTTACTATTTTTTTATGAAAATATGATGAATCTTAAAATAAATTAGATAATAAGATTTATTTAATTCTTAACAACATATTTTAAATTCATCATGTAGAAGTATTATTTTTGTACTCCACTTTTTCCACCCGGTTTTTTCTGATAAAGATATTAAAGCAGCTACTGACTATATTGACTATTTAAAGTACGCTCACATGCATTACCTCACCATATTTTAATTTCCTATTGTGTTTTTAGATATAAAATCAAACTGTTTTAAAGCTATTATGATATGATGAGAAATTATTTACTAAAAGATTTTTTAGCTTTCAACATGTTATAAATTTATGTTTCAAAATAAAATAGGAATCATTA